CAACAGTTCCTGTGTTAGGCCACTCACTAATCAGACAAGATCTCAGAAAAATTACCAGATTTGCTAGATATTTTGGTATGTGACTATCAAAGCTAAGTCACACTAGCAAAATATTTTAGCATTAAGAAGCTCTGTTCACGACTGCAGAGTGGAAGGCTTGATAATTCACTCATACTTCATAGCACTCCTTAAATGAGATTGTGTTGGTAATCCTGATGTCCGGCCCAAATTACAGGAAGTGAAGTTGCATTCTGCTTCTCTAAATTCATCCCACAGTATCTATATATGATTTTTATACTTGGCTAGCATTTAAAATTGAGGTGCTGTTCCACATCAGAGGTTCCTGCCTGTCAGTCTGAAGGGAATCCATTACTATACATTTCTTGCGCTTATTCAAAATTTTTGGATTTTACTTTTCCTTATTTAAATAATAACTATTGCTTGCTGTGGAAAACATTACAGAAATGCAGTTGTAGTACAATGAATGATGGCAGGGAAGACCTTTGCAGATTGAGATTAACTGCTAAAATCACCTTAAATATTTGAAGGTTAAAAATACAGACTTTTTTCCACACTGTCAAAGTTTTTTTCATCTGTTAAAAGGGATATCTTACTCAAGACACTTTGATCAGTGCCGGGGTTAATAGGAAATCTTATTTTCCACATCCCCATAAATTTCAAAGCCATTCTTCAATAGTCAGTATATGGTATTAGAAGTTATGAATACATGTTGAAGAGGAGGCATTCAGTGTAAAGCTATTAAGTGATATTGCTTATTTTCAAAATAAAGTGACACACCTAGATTATGCTTTTTTCTGGATGAATTTGAGATTCAGTGAAGAAAAATGTATCTGATAGAAACATAACTGAGGAATGGGACACTCATACTTTGCAAGCAGTATTTAGGAAAAAGAACACAAGAAATTAAATTATCAGAATTTTATTTCTGTTACAAATTATCACAATCACAATTAATATAAAACAGAAAGCACTGAGGAAACTTGACTGTTAGATACAAGATTTATCAAGGTGTAAAAGCCTCATCCAAGACTACTACTAGAAAACCTGTGATTATATTAGGGAAAACATTTCTATGCATCAAACACCAAGTGAAAGAGAATAAGCAACATAGTATAATTGACAGGGATTAACACACCTTCATGTTACACAAGTTTCTGAAGGAATCTCGTTGGAGTATCATTTCTACTCAAGAGTCTTGTTTTGAGTAGACCTGTTTACAATTAGCTATTAAGAAAGCTTCAGCATGAAACACCAATCTTCATTTTAACTTATTCATGTTGTTCATACATTAGACAAGCTATTTCCAAAAGCATTTAAATTCTAGTCATGAGACTTTCACACACTCTCTTACACTTGCTGCGTAAGGCTAAAAAGAATCACTAAAAGGAACATGAGGTTGCATTATTGCTTTGTAACAGGAACTTTGATGAAAATTCTTTATTGAGCTCCAAATAAAACATTGTTGCATCACTAAACAATTAAGAGTTTAAATATACAATTTTTTAAAAAGTGTATATTATACACTTTAAGGCTTTAATACAAGAAATACAGAGCAGGGTTTTCATACTCCGTAGCCTGTCTCGTTGTCTAGGCACACGGATAAGTACAATGCTCTAAGCAGTCCATAATTGACATGGCAGAAGTTCCTGAAAAAGAGCAAAATATAATTTATTTGTATACATCCCGAGACTACCAACTACAAATCCTCTGAAGACAGATTATAAGCAGTGGGATCAGGCAATTATGCATATAATAAATGTTTGTAGATTTATGGAAACCATTGCAGAAACTGCTATCATTGAAATAAAAAGGTGATAAAAAGGTTCAATAAAGGCAAATTAATGATATGGTTAATTATAATCATTAACGTTACTTGTTTGACCAGTAACACACAAATTGACCAGTGTCAGAACACAAAACCCTACTAGAATGGATATACACTCCTGGGTTAGTTTGTCACTATAAAAGAAAGGCTGCCTTCTACATTGATTTTTTTTTTAAATTAGAGAACTTTAGATTCTTTCCCTCTCTTCAAAACCTAATGGATTTCTTTGCATAGATTACTCCAAAGGAAAAAAAAAAGAAATGCAAGAGCAGAACACAATGCTAGTGCATACTATTTCAGGAACTGTCAAGAGAAGTTTTGTAGGACAAAAATGTAGTTTCTAAGAATATCTAATACCAGCTGTTTGAACTGATGTAGCTTATTGTACACACATGTATAGGACATGAAAATTGATATAACTTAGTTTTAAGAGGTATGAAAACACATTTTCTTAGGAGAAATAAGGTGTATCAATGTGGAACATCGGAAGAAGGAAGACTTAATGGATTTAAAATTCATACCACTATCATGCTCAATATATGCAGACTTTTTTCTTTGATGTATCAAATTTAGATCTTGCAACTCATTAAAGGAACAACTAAAATTGGACTAATGGTTAACTTTTCTGTCAAGGTGGGCCACAGCTACTTAATTAGAGCACGATATGGCCACAGACTACTCCATCTTCTGTCAGAAGCACATCTGGCACTTGACCAAAACAATCACTTCTGACCACAGGATGGGTGAGCTCTTAGTCAGGAAAGGATTTTTCTTTTAATTTACTCATTTGACCTGCAACATCCAGTCATATGACATCCTGTCACACAATGGTGCACCCAAACAGCCTCTGCATGATTTGACAGAGACATTCCCCCCCCACCCTCAAAAGGGAACCTGGAACAATTTAAGGGTTTATAGGACTTCAGGGCAGAGTAGCAGAAAAGTGGCACAAATGCATGCTCATACATTCATCCTCCATGAGGCATTAAGGAAAGATAGCATAAAAAAAAGAGTTGGATAAATATTAAAGCAGGTTGAATTCACTTCTGACTCACTTATTCGTTTACTAGCCATCCCTGCTACTAGATATTTTAGTTTCATCATATATGGTTAATATAAAACTTCATATTTGCAAATGAAAACTTATGACTTATGTAACTCATCATATTATGTGATTTAAGATATGAACAGAAATAGAAATTTGGCCAATTCCATTATAAATATTTTTAAAAAGTATTTATATACTCAGTTTTGCCATAGCAGTTCTAGCAGCTGGTATCAAATCTCTGCCCTTTGAGCCCCAGAGGCCAGAAATCTCCAAGCTCTCCTAACCTTAAAAGGGTCCTTTGCTTTAAAACTTTAAAATACTCTCAAAATTGTTCTAAAGCCATTTTGTATGTACAAAAAGTTCCTGTAGCCTGTGACAGGAGTCTCTTAAATTTACTGTGGTATACAGAGGCAGTGCAACATATGCAATATTTCGAGCTCTATTTATCTAAGTCATGTCAACTAAAGGCACTGAGATCATGAGGTTAGCAGGAAGAATTACCATTCCAAGTAGGAAATAAAGAAAAAATCTGTTCTATTTAAAATATACACAACCTGAGCATAACTACAGTTAAATTATTTCTTACTTCATATACTGAATTCACCAGAAACAGTAGAGCTAGCTATTCCTCAGCTAATGTTTCTCAACGGACTTGTTCTCCTTCATTTGTGCCAAAAATTAGTCTGCTCCTTGTGCAGAAATGCTTGACTAAGAAAATCATTCTACAAAATGCTTCCTTCAGATTTGGAAAATTATTTTAGACATGTTTGCTGACCAGATTAGAGTTTTAAGTTCCCATTTGAACACCACTAGCATAAAATTACATTAATTTTCTTTCAACCTTCCTCTGTCCAATGAAATGCTTAACTGGTTGAAATGTTGTCAAAGCTACATATACCTTTCAATAAACAAACAGCCAGACAGTGTCCACACACTGGGACAGTTTAATGACCTGTTTAATGATAGTTTAAAACTATGATTTTTCCCACCAGAATTGAACATAGCCAATGATTTTTCCTGGCCTCCAGCTCAGTACCTGTAATCATTATAAATTAAAGAAGCCTTGTATATAAAGAATTAAGGACCTGATCAAAAGCTCCATTATTTCTAATAACTTCACAGACAAGTAAAGATACCTACCAAAGCATCAGAAGATTAAGGGTTTTTGTTCTCTTGACTGTCCAAGGAGATGGGTTTCCTGACAAGAGAGGAAAGATATTTTTACTAAATTTCAAAGACTTTCAAATAAAAACTAAAGAAAACAATGTAAATCAAGCTATCATTAACAGAAACTTAATGATTAACAAAAAGCTTTAGATAACATTTGTAATGTTTAAGTTACTAGAATTTATGGAAAAATAATATATTACAAACTATTGGTTATGAGGTTTTACAGTAGTTTAATAGGGAATAGTTTGTCCAAATTTAACTAGCTAAGCTAAGGCTTTTTAGATTACTAGCACAAATTAAACGTTTTAAAATGAGAATTTAGGTGTCCTTAAATTCTTTCCTACATTCTAAAATGAAACTTTCTAAGTTGTAGCCTCCCTGGTTTTATTGGTTATATTAAGATAAATTAAGTGAGATTAAAATCTTATTTGATTTATTTACCTTTGCAAATGAAGACCGTTTTAAGGGTTACACATCCTCTGCCTCTGACGAAAGCGACCTCAATTAGTCAAGTCAGAAAGTCTTTAAAAGCTTTGTGTTTATTGCTTCCAGCACGGAGCGAGGTGGTCATTAACGTACCAAAATTCTCATAAAAATTCCAAAGTTGCACTAGTGAAAAAATGCTCAACAAGATGAAAACTAGTCACACCTTTTTCAGAAAATTCATTAGCTATTTTAAACCATTTTTAACAAAAATATTTTGATTTAATGTGGCACTCAAGCAGATCCATACCATTTGGATACTTTAAACAGCATTTATGTCTACTGTGAATATATATATACATTTAGGTTTATACCATTTTTTTTAAAGAAGTTGCGCAATGTTTAATATGAGCCTTTTATGCTGATCACTGTTAAACGTATTTCTCCCTGTTTACTACTATTTATGAAGTTTTATTATAAGATAAAGCATAAAATTAATCTCACACACACTGATTTTCTTTCAAAAGTTTATTTAGTATCAAGCAAGGGTAAAACTTTGCTTAACACTACAGAACATTTCAAGACTTGAGTTACAAAATACCACATTATTTGCATTTGTAATTTGCTTCCCTTTTTACGCATGTTTGCAAAGAGAAAAACTAGCAAATGACTGAAAATAAAAACTAAAAACTAAATTGTTGAAAACCTTTAAAATAAAAGGTTACGCTTATGTTAAAAGAATGGACTAACATATTTAGTAAACCTATTTTTTGTTTTACACTAGTTAATCAAAGGTTATTTTTTTGATTGCCTATTCTTTCAAATACAGTTTGGAAATAACAAAGTTCCTTGTTTTACATATCTTTATGTCCAGGTTGTTCTTTCAACAAAATATTTTAAGTTCAGTCCATCCATTCAGATTTTTAAGCGCTTTGATTTAATAAAAAGGGATTGTTCATAGAAAAAATTACTTTGAACAGTATACAGGACTGGTGGAGATTGGATATTTCACAACATCAGACAGTACAATCAGTATCTGGCATATGGCTGGTCTCTGTAGACTCCTTTTGTTGTCCTTGCAGAAGGTGCCTTGTGTCTTGAGTTGGTCCATTCTTCTTGCCCTACAAGAAGGGAAAATATATTTAGAACCCTTCCAATGTTCTCAGATGCTGTACTTATTTTTTCCTTATTTAATCATGAAATAGTGACATACAATTTACTTACTGAAACCAAGGTGTAGAAAGTGAAGTCTAACACTTGAACCAAAAAAAATCTGAGTACAAGTACAAATCTATATGAGCTACCCCACAATGCTTTTTCAGCACATGACAGCAGGGAGTGTGACAGGCTAATGGCCTGTATTTAGGGCTCTGGCATTCAGCTGGACCTGCTTGTTGCAAATACACAGAAATGCCAGCTATAGTAGCAGATCTACAAATAATTACGCTAGGAAGAAATTAATGGAGGATATGAATGATGTGTAAGCAAATAAGCTACCCTCAGAAATAAGTTTCTTTGCATCAGTACCAATTTAGGCTTAATTCAAATACACAATCCAATAGTGAAAAGCCTCAAGTATCACTACAAACACCTGTGGCTTCTAATAATCTAGGGGCAATATTCGACTTCACTATAAACATACTTCCTCTAAAACACAAGAAATAGGAAGGCAGATTATAAAAAAATTAAAAGGGCAAGGGATATTGCTTGTTTGAATTTTGACAACAAAATGAGTTTGTGAAAAACTTGTGCTATATTTAATGCTTCATAATCCTACCACATTTTAGTGGTAATAAATATTAACGAAAAGTAGCAAAGTATTGTCTTAATAAATGAGAATCAGACCTACTGTGCCACACGTTTACAACAAAAGAGAAGACACAGGACCAAATGCAGAGTATAATGAAACAGTACGTAGGTATACTTTAATCAAGTAAATAAATCAGAGTACTACCCCTGAGAGAAAAAAAAAAAACAAAAAACACACCAAAAAGCAAACACACCTGAAAACAGTGTATGTGCTTCCACATCTACTTTTGGAGAATTGCCCTGCCCTAAGCAGACAGGTGTCCAAGTGAACCCAGTGCAATCCAGAAACTAAGGGTGGAGTTCAAATTACTAGGTATGGTAGTCTAAAATGTAGGCATCACTTTATCCATCTTTCTCGTCAATTAAAAAAATAAAAGTCAACAGTCAAAGAACCCCTGTACTTCTTTGAACAGTAAGGTAACTTCCTCAGACAGTAGATATCTGAAGTTAGGTGACAAGAGTCCCTTAAGTCAAGGGTCCAATTTCACAATCTCTCCATAGAAGTCTCACCTTAGCTACTGTATTTTTAAAAATTTAGGTGGTTGCCTGCAAACCCTAGGTTATATCATAGCTAGGTGGTCAGAACATTTGCCTAGGAGGTAAAAGGAACAAGTTCAAATTTGGTGTAAGGCTGAAAGAATTAAATTCACAGAAAGCAAGGCTTATATTAAGCAAGGAAAAGAACCTTAGCCTAACAGTAAAGACAGCTGGCTGAGTGGTAAGAATTAAAAATATCCTAGCTTTTAAGCACCGCTGCAAGGAACTGTTTAAATGTAAAAAGAAGTCTTGGTTACAGGTTAAGGGGAATACTTGCTTCTTTTCAAGCAATTGGTAAAATCAGTAAAGAGTCACCTTACTTTTTACTAGTTTTCATTTAGGTGCACCTGGGCTTCTCAGAGGAAGAAAATTTCAGGTAATTCCTGGGAAACTCTTTCCTCCTGGCCAGCACTAGGCAACTATCTGCTCACTATGCAGTTTTATGAATTTTAGTTCAAGGCACATAATGTTCTTTACATACATTTAAGGATGTACTTGAGGGTCAGCTAGTTAAGAAAGTGTATAACTATTTATTTGTATGTGCAAAAAATTCAGTGGCTGTAACCCATAATCATTCTTCAAGGTATTTATAGTTTTCCTCTCAACTTCAGTAAATACATCACTTAATATTCTGAGTGGCTGTGCTTTGATAAATAGAAAACCAATTTTAAATGCAAAAGCAATGAAAAATCCGTATTTTCAACTGTAAATACTGCAATCCACATTTTCCCCTCATCAGTCAACTCTATCTACATTAAGCAGTTTCATACCTTTTTTCCCCCCATCAATATTGCATTCATGAAATAGTCTTAGAAATATCAGGCTTATAATGGCAAACAGTTTATTTTAATGCTGAAATAAAGATTTAAGCTATATATCTATCAAGACCAATTTGAAGTGCTGGGGGACAGAGGAATTTCAAGTGATCTCTTCTTTTGATGAACTGCCTTTCCCCTTAAGCAAAATAATTAGTTTAAGCAAACATTGAGGAAACTTCTGTATTAGGTGCATTTATCACAACAGCTT